GAGCTATCGGATGTACAGAGCCCGAGAAATCATCGTGCAAAGTCTGGGCTTGGTGAAGGAATTCCCAGCACCGTTCGGCTATTTCCACTCCCTGCTATCTATTTCCCTTAGTTATTCGTTTTATTTTATGTCCGTTCGTTAAATCATTCGTTTTACAGAGTGGAGACCACCCTGGGACTAATTAGAACATGGAACACTGTGTAGCAATACGGAAACCGCAGACTGATTGAATACTCCTAGGTGGCCGTCATTTCGTGCATAAGAACGCACGTGGTGAGCACAATGGACAGCGGCCATCTTGTCTCCCGAACGCAGACAGCGGGACTTGGATGTCGAGTGCCTGGAACTGGTTTCGGCAACGCACTCGCATGAACCCCAGTCTATATGGAAGTCCCCTACGTTCTATTTCCCAGCAATGTAGACGAACGGCGTTCGGGAGTTTGAAAAGATGAACGACAGGAGCATTCTACATGAACCATCTCTATTTCACCTATTGCGGTTTTCGTATGAATCCACACGAACGGAGACCGGCTCTTTCTACAAATCCTCTGGAACTGTTTCTTGGATTCACCCTCGTGAATGGATTTGGCTGAAATTTTAATATGTTTCTCCCACAAAGATCAGCTACCCAGGGATATGACTTTTGTGGGGTTTTTATGTATTTTTGGGGTATTTCTAAAAATTTTTAAAAAGTCAACTTTTTCTACCCAGCAGATAATTGAGTTTAGTATGTTTCCAAAACTCAATTATCTAGCTGGCTCAGAGGAGGAGTTATGTGTTGTATAAATTGAATGCCTGTTTTGCCATTAAAGTCTGGTCCCAGCATTAAGCTTTGGCTCATGTGTGGGTTATTATGCGACACCAGCGATATTGGAACCTTTGGATTACTGGCGATATTATTTCATTGAATAAGGGAACATCAGACAGTAATAACTATTCTGACCGTCACAAGTTCCATGAAATCTCTTGGTTTAGGCTGGTGAATTCGAACTTCGCGCCTAAACCAAGCGGTGGCCAATCAGGAGATAGGCGTGAACCAATTTGCACCAATCGGTGCTCAGGCAGGGGAGGCGTTCTGCCAGCCAATTGGGGAAAAGGGCGCAAAACCAAATCGTGCCAATTGGCGCTCAGGGCGGTGAGGTGTTTTGCCGTCCAATCAGGAGAAAGGGTGTAAAGCCAGTTTGAATTGGAGCCCTTCTCCTATTGGCCATCATGAACTTCCAGGCGGCCAGAGGGACTCTGAAGCTGTGAAGCCAACTCACAAATCCAAGGATTCTGCTGTCTCACGTCTCTCTCTCCGGTGGATATCTCCATGTGGGTAGTACTGGAGAGAGCGCTCTTTGGGCAGCTCCCGGGTAGGGAGCCGCTGTCTGCCCTGCTGACAGCCCGGCTGCAAGCAGGAGGCTTCTGGATTTCCTCTGGCCTGTGATTATGGCTCCTCGAGGAGCAGGTAGGGTTATCCCCTGCAGGAAAAGGGATCTAGTCTCTTTGTCTCCCAGGCAAAGAAATCCCGCCAACATAGCCAGTCCCCAAACGTGTCCCCACCAACCTCAGTAACCCCACACCAGTACATTTCCCTGAATGGTCTCTGTTAGTGAGGCTCCTGTGCGAAAACCAGGCAAGGGAAGCGTCTCCTTTCAGGATACGAATGCTCCCCCTGGGTGGTGTTCAGCTGTATGAAATGGCGGCCACCCAGGGGAGCATGCATTAATTACTTCCCTTGCGGTTTTGCACTTATGTTACTGGTGTGGATGTTCTAATTGATTGGTGTGAACATTCTAATGGGGGTACTGGGGTGGTTCCTGTTCGGGTGACGAATGGGTTCTGTTCGTATGAACGTTCCCGAATGGGAGAACAAGGCACAGCACAGGAAACACACAGGGTAACAAGGGGGAACACACGAATAAGCAGTGGGCACATTATTATTATTTTATTATTTATATAGCGCCAACAAATTCCGTAGCGCTGTACAATGGGTGGACTAACAGACACATAATTGAGATCAGACCACTGGACTACAGAAACAGAGGGGGTTGAGCACCCTGCTCGATGAGCTTACATGCTAGAGGGAGTGGGGTATAGTGACACAAAGGGTTAAAGTAGGGGAATTACATAGTTTGTTAGAGAAAGGTTTATTGAGTGCTTGGTAGGTCATTTTTGACAGTTGCAGGAAAGGAGTCATGGGGTGGGGGATGAGAAACCTGCTGACAGTTTAATTGATACGCTTTAATGAAGAAGTGAGTTTTCAAAGATTTTTTAAAGGAGTGGAGGCTGGGTGAAAGTCTGATTGAGGAGGGAAGGTAGTTCCACAGAATAGGTGCAGCCCTGGAGAAGTCTTGAAGGCGAGCATCAGAGGTGGGGATCCGGGCAGAGGATAGGCATATGTCTTGGGCTGAGCGTAGGGGTCTCGACGGGACATACTTGTGTATGAGGGAGGATAGGTATGTTGGAGCAGCATTATGTAGGGATTTGTAATCAAGCGCCAGAGTTTTGAATTAGGCCCTATATCTAACTGGAAGCCAATGCAGGGACTGACAGAGTGTGGAGGCGTGGGAGGTGCGACCGGACAGGAAAATAAGCCTTGCAGCCACATTCATTATAGATTGCAGCGGTGCAAGCTGGGAACATGTAAGACCGGTGAGAAGGGGATTGCAGTAGTCAAGGCGAGAGAGAACAACAGCATGAACCAGTACCTTAGCCGCATCCGGCGTTAGATATGGGCGGATGCGCGCTATGTTCTTGAGTTGGAAGCGACAGGATTTGGCTATCGATTGGACATGGGGAGTAAAAGAGAGATCAGAATCAAAAAGAACACCTAGGCAGCGAGCCTGGGAGGTAGAGGTGATAGTAGCGCCGTTGACTTGGATGGACACAGACACAGGAGTAGCAGCACTTGAGGGAGGAAAAACTAGAAGTTCTGTTTTGGACAGGTTGAGTTTAAGGAAGTGAGCAGCCACCCAGTTGGAAATAGTAGAGAGGCAGTCAGAAACACGAGTCAAGGTGGGCGGAGAGAGATCGGGGAGGACAGGTAGATTTGCGTGTCATCTGCATATAAATGATATTGGAAGCCAAAGGAGCTGATGAGTTTACCAAGGGAGGCAGTATAGATAGAGAACAGTAGGGGGCCGAGGACAGAACCTTGGGGGACGCCGACAGAGAGGGGTTGGGGAGAAGAGGCAGAGCCAGAGAAAGAAATACTGAAAGAGCGCTGGGAGAGGTAGGAGGAGCACCAGGAGAGAGCAGTATCCCGTAGACCAAAATTACGGAGAATGTGAAGAAGCTGTTGATAATCAACAGTGTCAAAGGCGGCAGAAAGATCAAGGAGGATTAGGATAGAGTATTGGCCGCAAGATTTAGCAGCAATTAAATTGTTGGATACTTTGGTCACAGCAGTTTCGACAGAGTGACCAGCGCGGAATCCAGACTGAAGGGGGTCAAGCAGAGAGTTGGATTCGAGAAAGTCTGTCAATCTGGCGTACATAACTCTATCGAGGATCTTGGAGACAAATGGGTTTGGGTATGGCACTCAGTGACTGCGTTCCGTCACACTGATGTATATTCATATACTATCCTTCCTTTCCCTTATCTTCATTAAGCATGAATATATCATTATTTCTCTTTGACATAACTTGAATGTTGTGCAAGATCTTAAAAATTATATTGAGTCTATTGCATCTCAAGCTAGAAACGGCTTGTTGTTAATGCACTGTAATTAGGACATAAAGCTGCTAGCTTGTCTGGGCTCCTGGCTAACATCAATGATCTCTCGTGTCTGTTATAAAACAAATCAGCAACATTATGGCCCATTCCACTCGTATGTACTAAGGATACTCCCTGAAGTTTCTCCAGTGGGGAATTGACATAGAACCACTGCGATTCTCACTCTTACTTGGGTGGTTTAAGGCACAAGAGGTTTTTTTTTTCATTCAATGTTTTTTTTATTGAGACTTATGTTTAGCATAGCAGAGAAACATTACAATAGTAGTTATACAGGTACATGGGCTCTGCCTCCACAAAATATAGCAAAGTCTCTTTTTTATAACATAAACAGACAGTGAATTAAGAAAGCTAGTATGCAAGATTACACAAACATGAAAAACAAAATTAAAATGGTGAATGATAAGATTGCCAATTTGCAGGTTAATTTAAAGAGCTATAGCTATTAGTGCCAGGCTATGCACTACTAGGAATAGTGACCGCTAATGTGTTGCCATAAAGACCTCTGTTACCACTAGGTGCATATTATAACTCTGTTTATAAAATAAAAACTGGTATGTCATATAAAGAACAGACACAAACATTGGGAATCACAATCACTAACATATCTTAGTTAGGTCCACCCTCACACCATAGCTAAGCCTAATAGTAAGTGTCACAATGTCTAAACCCCTCTAATCCCCTTGGGTCCAGAATTTCATTCTTCTAATACAATTTGTACAAAGGGAAGGGGATGAATTCCTATGCACCAAAGCTGGGAAACAAAAATCAGGACTAGTGGACTTTTGTCACATGCAAAGGTCTACCGACTATTTTTTATCCTGAAAGACCACACAAATCTCCTATATTGTTCCACAGTATGAGCATTTATCTACTTACAAAAAAACGACTTTGTCCCAGGAAAAATCTCAATAACTATGCTTATGTAATGTATTGTTAATGAAAACCCATTAGTGAGAAACTAAGTAAATAATTTAGTTAGAACTTGTAAAAAGCACATTACACCTTAAAAATGGTTGAAATATTAAAATGAAATTGAAGCTATTGTGTGCATCGGTTCTCAGATTACCCGGAATGGTTGAGGCATTTCTTGTGTTTGAAAAACAAATGGTTTTTGTGTAAAAGTAATTATTGGCTTTTACATCCTGGTTTGCAAATAAAGTCTTCTTCCCAGCACCTCCCCTCTGTAACTTCAGCCTTCTTATTTCATACAGCAGGCAGAGACCTCAGCATTTGTACACAGCGCTCCCAATTATCCCTTCCTAACAGAGATCGCCTGAGGGATGCAGCCTAATACATACTACAGTGGGGGTCCCCCTTCCTATGAATGTCAGGATCAAGGTCCACTAGGGGACGAGAGCAAGAGGATTCAGAACGTGATCAGTCCTCCGCCACAGTCCACTGTGGTGACTGTAACACACAATATTTCTCCTGTACAAGATCATGTGGTGTGGTCCACCTTTAATATGGCGTATATGAATTTTTGCTGTCTGGGATTGATAGCCCTTGTGTTTTCTGTCAAGGTAAGAAACCAAACTATTTAACTTCTGTGTAAAGTTTGCAGTGTCTCGTGCTATATAGTAATAGAAATTCCATTAACAATTTATTCTGCTAGATTCTACCAATCCATAGTCTGTGTTTTATTTAACCCCTTCATGGTAAAGGTTAAGGAAAACCCCATTATATCATGACAGTCCTGGCACTATCTGCTCTGAAGGGGTTAAGAAACAGCAACTCAAGTCGCCAATGATGCTGTGTTTATCTAAAAGTAATAATTGTCGGAAATTCAATGTGAATTTTAAATTTCAGGCCAGATTAGCTGAATTGGAAGCATTGCTTGATAATTGTTTCCCCGTTGGCTATTCTGGACTCTTAGGTTTGGAAGAGCATTGTGGGTGTGCTTGTCGGTCTGCAATAAGATGGAGGTTAGCTGCTTCTCTGTGACTCTTTTCTATTAAAGGAACACACAGCTGACTTTCTGAAAACATAGTTAACACTTTAGTAGAATTACCACCATAGAAAACATCCATAGACCAATTTCTGTATGTTAAAAGAAATCTGTCTCGATGCATATTCTTGTTCTTGGGTAGAACATTGGCTTAAGGATAGAGTACAACAATTTGTCATTAATGGTACATTTTTAAACTGGACAGAGATGGTAAGTGGTGTCCCTCAGGGTTCTGTTCTGGGACCCCTTCTATTTAACATGTTTGTAAATGATCTTGAAGACAGCATTGAAAGTCATGTTTCAGTGTTGCAGATGACACAAAACATCATCAGTACAATGTGAGCAAGATATTACTTAGCTGCAGAGGGATTTAGATAGACTGGGGGACTGGCCACTCAAATGGCAGATGAAATTTCATGTTGAAAAATGCAAAGTTATGCACTTTGGCATAAAGAATACACAAGCAATGTATACCTTTAACCCATTTACGCCATTATGGTGTTCTATGCCGTCCCACATTAAGTGGGCTTTAAAGCCGTTGCGGCGGCATAGAATGCTGTAACTGCTTTGAGCCCCTGGAGGTCCGGCGTACTTACCTCCGCCGCGATCCTCTTCTGGTAGGCTGCCTGACAGCCCAGGCAGCCCTCCCCCAGCAAATGAGGCCCCTAGGGGCCATGTGATCGCTCTCAAAGAGCGATCACATGGCCCCCTATAGCTGGCTGTGGATCTGCCAGCAGGGGGACTGTCTGAAATGTCAGACAGTCCCCCTGCTGGTGGGAAAGTAAAAAAAATAATAATTAAACATGTTATAAAATAAAATAGAAATGTATTTATATATATATATATATATATATATAATATATATACATATTATATATATGTAACGTCATACAAAGTGTATTTTAATATTAATATAAGTACATATATTAGTATTAAAATACACTTAGAATGACGTTACATATATATAATATATATATATATATTATATATATATATATATATATATAATAGATATATACACATATATTATATATATATACACGTATAATTACAATAATAAATAAATAAAATAATAATAAATAAATAAAATATTGAAACAAAATTTTATATAAATTATATATTCATATGTAATTTCATTCTAACTGTATTTTGTTATTAATATATATATAGGTAACAAAATACACTTAGAATTACATTCTATATATATCTATCTATATATAAAATACAAATAACCGCAAATAAATAAATAAATATATATATATATATATATATAAATACATATAATTACATAAAAGATTACATTAGTATACACGTAGAATTTAAATACCTATAAATGTATATATTAAAATTCTACGTCTATATTTAAGTAATCTTTTAACATAATTATGTGATTTGATTAATTAAAATTTGATTGACATGCCTGACAACACAGGGAGAAAGTGCAGAGAATTTAATTCGCAAGCACTATATTTGTCCCTGTAACTCTCCAAGACACAAAAAAACCTGTACATAGGGGGTACTGTTTTACTCAGGAGATTTCGCTGAACTCAAATATTAGTGTTTTTTAAACTGGTAAATTGTATTACAACGATGATATTTTAAGTAAAAGTGAAATTTTTTGCATTTTTTACAAACGAAGGGCACTTTTATGTACTATATTATTGTTGTAATATGTTTTACTGTTTTAAAACACTAATATTTGTGTTTAGTGAAGTCTCCCTGAGAATAACAGTACCCCCCCATGTACAGGTTTTATTGTGTTTTGGAAAGTTAGAGAGTCATATATAAGGCTTGCATTTCATTTTTTTCACATTGAAATTTGCCAGATTGGTTATGTTGCCTTTGAGAGCGTATGGTAGCCCAGGAATGAGAATTATCCCCATGATGGCATACCATTTGCAAAAGTAGACAACCCAAGGTATTGCAAATGGGGTATGTCCAGTCTTTCTTAGTAGCCACTTAGTCACAAACACTGGCTTTTTTCACACAAAAACAAATATGAACGCTAACTTTGGTCAGTGTTTGTGACTAAGTGGCTACTAAAAAAGACTAAACATACCCCACTTTCAATACCTTGGGTTGTCTACTTTTTCAAATGGTATGCCATTATGGGGATAATTCTCATTCCTGGGCTACTACACCGTCTCAAAGGTAACATTACTAATCTGGCAAATTTCAATTTGAAAATGGAACTTTCTATATTTGACCCTGTAACCTGTTAATGGGGGGTACTGTTGTACTCGTGAGACATCGCTGATTACAAATATGTGCATTTTTTTGCAGTAAAACCTAACAGTATTATGACATTCACAGTTAAAATGTCAGCCGGAAACACAAATTTAAAAAAAAAAAATCTTATTTTCTCAAATTTTTTTAAATTTTATTCATAATAAATTATGTTCCATATATGAATAGTTAATGATAAATTAAAGCCCTCTTTCTCCTGAACAAAATGATATATAATAAGTGTGGGTGCACTTAATGTGACAGCAGTGAATTACGGTTGGACAGACATATAGCGCAAATTCCAGTTTTTGTTTATGTTTTGTTTTGATCAGAACGTGCACTATTGACTCCGTCCTGAAGGGGTTAATGGAAGCGAATTAGGGATAACAACACATGAAAAGGACTTGGGAATTGTTATAGACAACAAACTATGCAACAATATGCAATGTCAATCAGCAGTGGCTAAGGCCAGTAAGGACTTTTTAAGTATGAAAGTGGCATTAGTTCTCGGGATAAGAATATAATTTTGCCTCTTTATCGCTGGTAGCACCACATATTGAATATGCTGTGCAATTCTGGGCACCTGTTCTAAAGAGGGATATTATGGCACTAGAGAGAGTACAGAGACAGGCTTCAAAATTAATAAAAGGAATGGAACATTTTAGTTATGAAGAAAGGTTAACAAATTTAGTTTAGAAAAATGTCACCTGAGAGAGGATTTAATAATATTATACATTATATATAATATATTGTATATATATATATATATATATATATATATATATATATATATAATATATAAGGGCCAGTATAAACCATTGTGTGGAAATCTATTCACAAACTGGACTTTACATAGCACACGAGGCCATGCGTTTAGACTGGAAGAAAGAAGATTTAATCTAAGGCAAAGGAAAGGTTTTTATACCGTAAGAACAATAAGGATGTGTAATTTTCTGCCTGAAGAGGTTGTTTTATCAGAGTCCGTACAGATGTTTAAAAAGCAAACTGGATGAATACTTGCAAAAACAGAATATTTTTCCTTGTTTATTGCAAAATTGGAAGTGCTTCAAACTGGGTTTAGAACATAGAACATAGAATGTGACGGCAGATAAGAACCATTCGGCCCATCTAGTCTGCCCAATTTTCTAAATACTTTCATTAGTCCCTAGCCTTATCTTATAGTTAGGATAGCCTTATGCCTATCCCACGCATGCTTAAACTCCTTTACTGTGTTAACCTCTACCACTTCAGCTGGAAGGCTATTCCATGCATCCACTACCCTCTCAGTAAAGTAATACTTCCTGATATTATTTCAGCTAAAACAGATGTGAGGAAGGCTGAACTTTATAAACATGTCTCTTTTCAGCCTATGCAACTATATTTTCTCCAGAATAATTTTTGGCTCTAAAATCATCCAATAACTGTAGAGCCATTTGGTTTCAGAGCAGATGACTTTAACGTTATTAGATGACTTTAGAGCCAAAAATTGCCCAGAAGATATATTAAACAGAGCATATCGGGAGGTACATGCTTTAGATAGGAAAGACTAATGAGACTCTGCAAATAAACAAGACTTTGAAGAAGACTAATTAAGTCCCAATTATTTTTATTATTCAGGAAATAATAAGAATCTAAAGAGGATCATTAACAAATATTGGTTCATTTTATCTGGAGATCCACTTTTACAACACATAGTTGCCAGTAAACCTAGAATCATCTCTAGAGGAGTACCAAGTATTAAAAATAATGTAATAAAAAGTAGTTGTAAGAACAAGAAAGGTAATATTAATACCTTCTTGAATAATGAAGAAGGATTCTTTCAGTGTGGGTACTGGTTGACATGTAAGGGGACGGGTGCTCCAAATAAAGTTAAGAAAGAGTTAGAAGGAGGCATTACGAGTAGAAAACATAAAATTAAACAACTTATAACTTGCCATACAAAGAACTGCATCTATGTCTTAACTTCCCCATGTAATTTACAGTATGTGGGGGAAACTAAAAGACAAATCCATACTCGTATTCAGGAGCATATTCGAAACATCAGAAGAGGCTTTAAGGAACATCCACTGTCCCTAAATTTTACTCAAAGACATAACGGAGATCCTACTAGACATGTGCAATCCATTTCGTTACGAATGTGAATTTGGACAAATTTTTTAGGCAATGCCAAAGTGCTGAATTGCCAAATTTCCAAAGTGCCAAACCAAACCAAATTGCCGAGGTGCTGAATTTCGGAAGTGCTGAAGTGCTTTGAATTTCTGAAAAGTGACAAAACAAGAGAGGGTAGAAAAATGAAGTGAATGATGACAGGGGTAGAGGTAGGGTTGGGTTAAGCTTAGGGTTAGGAGTAGAGGTAGGGGTAGGTTTAGGGGTAGGAAGCCCTACAGATGTTCCGAATCCCGAAGTTCAGAATTGCCGAAGTTCTGAATTGCTGAAGTCCCGAATTTCTGAAGTGCCAAACCGAACCGAATTGCGAAAGTGCCAAATTTTTTTTACTTAACCGAATTTCAGGAACGAACCAAACTGAATTTTTTTTGCCCATGCACATCCCTAGATCCTACCAAACTAGAGTTTCTTGGAATTGAAAGAGTTAACAGAAATGTATAATTAATGTGTGTTTATATTTATTATACATCTAACAATATAAGTCCAGAGTATGTGCAATAGATTACATTTAATGATAGGTGTAGATGATAATATGGAAAAAGAACACAAGCCCCAATATTTTTTTTAATTTTATTTATGTGTATCATTCATTCACTCAGAACAGCAGCAGTTTTACAGCGAATAAACTAATGGCACCAAACACAATTAATTCAGCTACACATTCGTTCCTTCAGGTGTTAGTTATATTTTCGACCAATTCTTTATTTTTGGATGAAAGTAATGAAAAACAAAGTTTTCATTCAGTTTTTAACATCACATTTTCTTCCAACAACTAATGCACCTGTTTATTAATGTCCCAGTTTAATTGTGACAGAGTGCCTGGTCACTTAGGACTGGTACATGTCTTCCAACTGCCACCTTCTCCTACAAAAGACTATATCACTATTGTTGGCTCCTCCAACCCATGCTTCGCAGCACAGTGCATCCTCTCTGTGGCCTCGGACCACTCATAGGCTGACAGGAGAGCCTTTGAGGCATTGTGTGCCTGGGAGCTACCTGCAAAACATTTGGAAATCCTGATTGAATCGAGGAGCTGCATTGGAAGGTACTTTTTATTTAATTGAACCTGTCCCTCAGGGCTGCCGCCATCTTCAGTGGCGTACATACCGGGGTCGCAGGGGTTGCGGCTGCGACTGGGCCTGGCCCACCAGGGGGCCAGGCCTCCCTGCGACCCAGTATGTACGCCAGTGTGGCCCTGGTGTCACGGGCTGGCGGGCCAGGGAACACTCTCCCCTGAGCGCTCTCTGCCCAGGTCCCTCGCGCACCGCACTGATACCGGAGCCGGAAGATGATGTCATATTCCGGCTCCGGCATCAGTAAGCGGCGCGTGAGGGAGCTGGGCAGAGAGCGCTCAGGGGAGAGTGCTCCCACCTCGCCCACCAGCCCGCCATACAGCCAGCCCGCCCAGTGACCGGTCGCCCAGCAGAACCACTAGACCTCAGGGAATCCCCTCGGCTCTCCCAAAGGTAAGGAGGCTGGGGGATTAAATTTTAAAGAAACATGTGTGTGTGTTAGTGTTAGAGTGTGTGTGTGTCTGTGTGTGTGTGTTAGGTTTTGTGTCAGTGTGTGTTAGGTTTTGTGTCAGTGTGTGTGTTACTGTGTGTGTCTGCTAGTGTCAGTGTGTGTTAGTTTGTGTGTCAGTGAGTGTGTGTGTGTCAGTAAGTGTGTTACTGTGTGTGTCTGTTACTGAGTGTGTTAGTTTGTGTGTGTCTGTTAGTGAGTCTGTTTGATGTCTGTTAGTGAGTGTGTTTGTCAGTGAGAGTGTATGTTTTGTAAGTGAGTGTGTATGTGTGTGTCTGTCAGTGAGTGTGTATGTATGTATGTCGCTGAGTGTGTCTGTCAGTAAATGTGTGTGTCTGTTAGCTAGTGTGTATGCGTCTGTTCGTGAGAGTGTGTGTGTGTGTTTAAAACCCCTTCAGCACTTACCTTTCTCCAGCGCCGGACTTCCTTGGCGCTGGGGATCCTTCCGCCCTGATACGCCTCTCATCTCCGAATGCGCATGGGCGGCAAGAACCGTGCGCGCATTCAAACCATGAGCATTCAAAAGCATTACTCGATGCTTTCCTATGGACATCCAGCGTCTTCTCACTGTGATTTTCACAGTGAGAATTGCGGAAGTGGTCTCTAGCGGCTGTCAGTGAGACAGCCACCAGAGGCTGGATTACACCTCAGTGAAACATAGCAACTGCTATGTTTTCAGCTGCAGTGTTAAAACTAGAGGGACCTGACAGCCAGACCACCTCATTGAGCTGATGTGATCTGGGTGTCTGTAGTGGTCCTTTAAGTGTGTGTGCATCTGCATGCACTGGCGTACATACCACGGTCGCAGGGGTTGCAGCCCTGCGACCAGGTGCCCCGCCGCCATGTGTTTCGGCCCACACAGAGAACGCGCAGAGAGGGGAAGGGGGTTGGTGGGCCCCATGGGTCGCGTGTACGCCATCTACCACGAGGTCCTCTTCAGCTTCTGGCACTCCATCTTGTGGGAATGGACATGCTATGTGTGACCATAAACTGCCAGGTATAAATGGAGTTAGAAGGCGTATGGCACTGAGACTAGCTAATCAGGAATCACCTATTGTGAACACAGTGCAGATTAAAACATTAATGTAAAACAAAATTATTCATTCAAACATTTTTTTTCTGATTAACCCTTTCACTGCAAAGTTATTTTTACTTTGGAGTGCCGTCTCTTATTGGGGGAATCGACTACAAGGGATTGCTATGCTAGTCATACTCCCTTGCTAAATCACTACTAAGCTCTTGTAAGAGCTTGTTCCTGTCTTGCTCTCTGAAGGAGTCTACGGTGGTTATGGTGTTGGCTGGAGTGCTTGGAGACCTCAGGAAGTGCTAGGAGCATCCTTCAACGGAGGTACCCAGTCGGGCTGCCAGGTGATCCGTTACAATTATATATAATGATACTTAGTTACTTATTAGCAGATATTATATATAATGATACTTACAGTAACTTATTACCAGATATTATATATAATGATACTTACAGTTACTTATTACCAGATATTATATATAATGATACTTAGTTACTTATTAGCAGATATTATATATAATGATACTTACAGTTACTTATTACCAGATATTATATAATGATACTTACAGTTACTTATTACCAGATATTATTTATAATGATACTTACAGTTACTTATTAGCAGATATTATATATAATGATACTTATTTACTTATTACCAGATATTATATATAATGATACTTACAGTTACTTATTACCAGATATTATATAATGATACTTACAGTTACTTATTACCAGATATTATTTATAATGATACTTACAGTTACTTATTAGCAGATATTATATATAATGATACTTACAGTTACTTATTAGCAGATATTATATATAATGATACTTATTTACTTATTACCAGATATTATATATAATGATACTTACAGTTACTTATTACCAGATATTATATAATGATACTTACAGTTACTTATTAGCAGATATTATATATAATGATACTTACAGTTACTTATTACCAGATATTATATATAATGATCCTTAGTTACTTATTATCAGATATTATATAATGATACTTAGTTACTTATTAGCAGATATTATATATAATGATACTTAGTTACTTATTACCAGATATTATATATAATGATACTTACAGTTACTTATTACCAGATATTATATATAATGATACTTAGTTACTTATTACCAGATATTATATATAATGATCCTTAGTTACTTATTATCAGATATTATATAATGATACTTAGTTACTTATTATCAGATATTATATATAATGATACTTAGTTACTTATTAGCAGATATTATATATAATGATACTTACAGTAACTTATTACCAGATATTATATATAATGATACTTAGTTACTTATTACCAGATATTATATATAATGATACTTAGTTACTTATTAGCAGATATTATATATAATGATACTTACAGTTACTTGTTACCAGATATTATATAATGATACTTACAGTTACTTATTACCAGATATTATATATAATGATACTTACAGTTACTTATTAGCAGATATTATATATAATGATACTTATAGTTACATATTAGCAGATATTATATATAATGATACTTAGTTACTTATTAGCAGATATTATATATAATGATACTTACAGTTACTTATTAGCAGATATTATATAATGATACTTACAGTTACTTATTACCAGATATTATATATAATGATCCTTAGTTACTTATTATCAGATATTATATAATGATACTTAGTTACTTATTACCAGATATTATATATAATGATACTTAGTTACTTATTAGCAGATATTATATATAATGATACTTACAGTTACTTATTACCAGATATTATATATAATGATACTTACAGTTACTTATTAGCAGATATTATATATAATGATACTTAGTTACTTATTACCAGATATTATATATAATGATACTTACAGTTACTTATTACCAGATATTATATATAATGATACTTAGTTGCTTATTACCAGATATTATATATAATGATCCTTAGTTACTTATTATCAGATATTATATAATGATACTTAGTTACTTATTACCAGATATTATATATAATGATACTTACAGTTACTTATTAGCAGATATTATATATAATGATACTTAGTTACTTATTACCAGATATTATATATAATGATACTTACAGTTACTTATTACCAGATATTATATATAATGATACTTACAGTTACTTATTAGCAGATATTATATATAATGATACTTAGTTACTTATTACCAGATATTATATATAATGATACTTAGTTACTTATTATCAGATATTATATAATGATACTTAGTTACTTATTACCAGATATTATATATAATGATACTTACAGTTACTTATTATCAGATATTATATATAATGATACTTAGTTACTTATTATCAGATATTATATATAATGATACTTAGTTACATATTAGCAGATATTATATATAATGATACTTACAGTTACTTATTATCAGATATTATATATAATGATCCTTAGTTACTTATTATCAGATATTATATAATGATACTTACAGTTACTTATTAGCAGATATTATATATAATGATACTTATAGTTACATATTAGCAGATATTATATATAATGATACTTAGTTACTTATTAGCAGATATTATATATAATGATACTTACAGTTACTTATTACCAGATATTATATATAATGATCCTTAGTTACTTATTACCAGATATTATATATAATGATACTTAGTTACTTATTATCAGATATTATATATAATGATACTTAGTTACTTATTACCAGATATTATATATAATGATACTTACAGTTACTTATTACCAGATATTATATATAATGATACTTACAGTTACTTATTACCAGATATTATATATAATGATACTTACAGTTACTTATTAGTAGATATTGTAAATCACTGCTAGTGAGGTTTCCCATTGCAAGTTTTGCAACATTGTTATCAATACTGTTACTTTTATATCTACATTGAGAGATTATTCAACTTTCTAGCAGTATTCAAGCCCTCCAATTTGAAAGGTTGTGTTTTTCACAATTCTTTTACTTTATTCACTTAAATCTCACTTAGTGTTTGTCTGTTTGTGTTCCCAAGTGGGACCTAATAAGCTTACTATTTTTCTTACTATTTTTTATTTTCTTAATCATATTCTCTTTATGAGTGAGAGACTATTCAGTATTTTGTTCCCATGATTGCTTTGTCTCCAGCCTGCCCTGAGGTTTGATTTGTGGCCAAACACTGTCTTTCTCGGCTTGTCTGCTTCTTGTATTGCCCACCCCCAAGCACCTTCTAATTGATATTATTGGAGCCCTTAACCCCAACAGCACCAGCCAACAGAAGGGACCCTCCAGGAACCAGGAAACTACACGGTGTGTCTTAGTGTATATCTGTATGTGTGTCTTTCTGTGTGTCTGTACCTGTATGTATGTCTATGTTTGTAGCTGTGTATCTGTATGTGTGTCAGTGTTTGAATCAGTTTGTGTATTTGCATGCATGCCAGTGTGTGTCTGTGTAACTACTTGTGTGTCAGTGTTTGTTTCTGTGTGTCTGTATATGTGGCAGTATGTGTATCTGGGTATCTATATGTGTGACAGTGTTTGCTTCTCCGTATCTGCATATGTGTCAGTGTTAGTTTCTATGTGTATCTGCATTTATGTCAGTGTTTGTATTTGTGTGTCTCTATCTGTATGTGTGTCACTGGATGTATCTATTGTATATACCATATATTGGGTTTTTTCACCTCTCCTGGGTGGAATGTCAGTTCCTTATTTTTGAGATGCCTGGGAGTCTGAGGGTTCTGCGCAGTAAGTTAATTGTTCCTAGAACTGCACTCTTCTGGACAGTGATCTCCGATGTCCCACCTGGAATCTGTTGAAGCCACTCCCCCAACTTGAGAGTCACAGCCCAGAGTGCTCCTATCACAACTGGGACTACTACTACCTTCACTTTCCACATCCTTTCTAGTTCTTCTTTCAGTCCTTGGTATTTGCCCACCTTCTTATGTTCCTTCTTTCTGATGTTATTGTCACTGGGTATTGCCACATCCACCATTACTGCAGTCTTTCATTCCTTGTCTACCACAACAATGCCAAGATGGTTGGCCACTACTTACTTGCTTGTCTGTCTGGATCTGGAAGTCCCACAAGATCTTAGCCCTGTCATTCTCAACAACCCTTTGTGGTATCTCCCATCTGGACTTATGCAGCTCCCATCCGGATTCTGTGCAGATGTTTCAGTTCACAACCCCAGCAACTTGGTTGTGTCTCTCACTGTATGCTGTTCCTGCTAACCTGGTAAGATATGTGATGGATTGTCTCAGAGGCCTCTTTACACAGTCTGCAAGTTGGAAGGGGTCCTTGCCTGGTGTGGTAGACTCCAGCTTCCATTGTGCTGAGTGCCTGTTCCTGTGCTGCTAGGATTAGCCTCAATGCTGTATTTCCGTTTCCAACCACTGGGAGGAATTTGTTATGTGAGCCACACCCACTATCTGCTGGTGGTAATCCCATGGAAAGGTTTATCTTGCCAAGGAACCTCCTCCTTTTCTGCATCCTCTATCTCTTAAAGTCTCAGGCATTCCCTTAGCAGTTCATCTTTGGGAGCCATTTTCATGATGTACTTGTAGATGCTCTGTGTTTTATCCAGGACTGTGGCATTGACACTCATCAGGCCCCGACCTCCTCCCTTCCGGCAATCTCTGGGTGCTAGGTTTCAGGTTCATTTAGAGTGAGTAGTTTCCCGGTCTTGACATCCATGGTGGCCAGTTCTTATCTTGGCCAGGTTATTATTCCAGCTGAGTACCTAATGACTGGTAAGGCATATGTGCTGGTGGCTTGGATCTTGTTCTTGCCATTCAGCTGGGACTTAAGGACCTGTCTGACTCTCTGGAAGTACTTGGGTGTTGTTCTCTGTGACGGACTGCCTGGCCCCCTGACTGGGCACCCCCGCCAATCACGCTTTCTAGTATCACCGAGTACTATAAGCACCGCACCAGACACCATAAACACCGTAGCTCCCCTTAGCTCCCTGTGAGAAGACCTCTCCTCCAAGAGAATATAATAATCCAAAGAGCAGTATAGCAATTCCCCCCACACATGAGCCAAGGCTTAATGCTGGGAAGTAGTCTGTTTAATGCAAGCAAGCACTTTCAATTTATACATACATTTAAACCCCCAAAAGCCTAATTTACATGCAATAGGGTACATAGAAGGCAAGCATCATAGGTGGGAGTACGGACAGAAGATACACGTAAGTCTTCAGCAGATCGTAAGTGCCTAGACGGGACATACTTGTTTATAAGGGAGGAAAGATAGGTGGGAGCAGCATTATATAGAGATTTGAAAGCAAGAACCAGAATTTTAAGTATTTTACAGGAAGCCAATGTAGGGACTGACAGAAGGGTGAGGCGTGGGAGGTGCGAGCGGACTGAAAGATGAGCCTCGCTGCTGCATTCTATGCCATGTGGACTGTAACGGCGCAAGTTGGGAGCACGTAAGACCGGATTACAGTAGTCAAGGCGAGAAAAGACAGTGGAATAGACCAGCACCTTAGTTGCATCTGGCGTTAAGTAGGGTCGGATGCACGCAATGTTTTTTGAGATGGAAGCGGCAGGATCTGGCGATAGATTGAACATGAGGCTTGAAGGAGAGGTCAGAGTCAAAGAGAACACCTAGGCAGCGAGCCTGCATGGTGGAGCCGGTAGCACCGTTGACTTGGAGGGAGACAGACACAGGAGTAGCAACACTTAAGGGAGAAAAGACCAGAATTTCAGTTTTGGTCAAGTTGAGTTTAAGGAAGTGGGCAGCCATCCAGTTGGAAATAGCAGAGAGGCAGTCAGAGACACTAGTCAAGAGGGACGGGGAGAAATCAGGAGAGGACAGGTAGATTTGCGTGTCATCTGCATAGAAATGATATTGGAAGCCAAAGGAGCTAATGAGCATAATGGTGATATTGTCCTGGAGCAAGCCTCCTGTTATGGCACCGATACAGACTGGAGAGAGGTGACAGAGGAGAGTAAACAGTGTAGTCAGACATAGAGATTATAGGCAGATTGAAACAGAAATGGTAAAACAGAGATATTTCTAATGCATATTATTATCCCCAACAAATAGCCGCCCCCATGTTTGCCAATATTGACACATATTATATGATGGGGTGAGGGACTGGAGTACCAGAGTTAGGACAGTTGGCAAGTATGGTTCCTCTCCTGTACGTGTTATGGCCAGACACTGTACTGTTGGCTTTCGTCTCCCTTGATAAACATAGATTGTGTAAATAGGATTGAAAGAATACGGAGAGATTTTTTCATCTTAATGGAAATTGTCTTTTTTGTTATAAAGAAACAATTGTAGAGAGGGAAGCAGAGGTGGGGAATGACGGATATATTTTCCACTTAATTAACTATTTCATGGCAGTGAGTGAGTGTGTACACTATTGCTGCCCAATAGCTGCTGTGCTGTAGTTTAACAACGGATGTGTATGTGCCTTTTGATTAGCTACTTTGGCATACAATTTGAGACGTACTTTAATTCAGTGACAGGATGCAGGAGCTGGGGCTTGAGATGGCTGTAATCACATGGTACGGAGTCCTCAATGAGCTGAGAATAGCAGAAATGGCAGAGAATTTAACAGTGAATCAGCAGGGGCATGGTCTATGCACCATAACTACTTCACTAAGAGATCTATACACCATAACTACTTCACCAAGTGATCTACACTGTAACTACTTCACTAAGTGGTCTATACACCATAACTACTTCACCAACTGATCTACACACCATAACTACTTCACCAAGTGATCTACACACCATAACTACTTCACAAAGTGATCTACACCGTAACTACGTCACTAAGTGATCTACACACCATAACTACTTCACTAAATGGTCTACACACCATAACTACTTCACAAAGTGATCTACACACCATAACTACTTCACTAAGTGGTCTATACACCATAACTACTTCACAAGTGATCTACACACCATAACTACTTCACTAAAGTGATCTACACACCATAACTACTTCACTCACCAACTGATCTACACACCATAACTACTTCACTAAGAGATCTATACACCATAACTACTTCACTAAGTGATCTACACCGTAACTACTTCACTAAGTGGTCTATACACCATAACTACTTCACCAACTGATCTACACACCATAACTACTTCACTAAGAGATCTATACACCATAACTACTTCACTAAGTGATCTACACCGTAACTACTTCACTAAGTGGTCTATACACCATAACTACTTCACCAACTGATCTACACACCATAACTACTTCACTAAGAGATCTATACACCATAACTACTTCACTAAGTGATCTACACCGTAACTACTTCACTAAGTGGTCTATACACCATAACTACTTCACCAACTGATCTACACACCATAACTACTTCACTAAGTGGTCTATACACCATAACTACTTCACCAAGTGATCTACACACCATAACTACTTCACTATGTGGTCTACAACCATAACTACTTCACTAAGAGATCTATACGCCATAACTACTTCATTAAGAGATCTATACACCATAACTACTTCACTAAATGGTCTATACACCATAACTACTTCACCAAGTGATCTACACCGTAACTACGTCACTAAGTGATCTACACACCATAACTACTTCACTAAGAGATCTATACACCATAACTACTTTACTAAGAGATCTACACACCATAACTACTTCACAACGTGATCTATACACCATAACTACTTCACTAAATGGTCTATACACCATAACTACTTCACTAAGTGGTCTATACACCATAACTGCTTCACCAAGTGATCTATACACCATAACTACTTCACTAAATGGTCTATACACCATAACTACTTCACTAAGTGGTCTATACACCATAACTACTTCACTAAGGGCTCTATACAGAAGAAGATTTCGTCTAAGGCAAAGGAAAGGTTTTTTTACTGTAAGAACAATCAGGATGTGGAATTCTCTGCCTGAAGAAGTGGTTTTATCAGAGTCCATACAGATGTTCAAACTGCTACTAGATGCATACTTGCAAAACCAGAATATTCAAGGATATAATCTTTCAATGTAGGGTAATAACTGCTTGATCCAAGGATAAATCTGACTGCCATTCTGGGGTCAAGAAGGAATTTTTTCCTAGTTTGTTGCAAAATTGGAAGCGCTTCAAACTGGGTTTTGCCTTCTTTTGGATCAACAGCAAAACCAGATGTGAGGAAGGCTGAACTTGATTGCTTTGCACTAGTTAAAGTGTTATTTGCACATTACTAAATAAGCACTTTGTTTTACAATTTATGTACACGAATTTGATGGCACGATTTTAAAGGCACAGCGCACATTATTGATTTGGAGTTATTCCCTATAAAGCGGACATTGTTGAACATTCCAAGTGAATTTTACAATTTAATGTATTGAAAACCATATCTAAGCTATATTTTCAGTTTGGCGTAAACTTTGAACTCCCTCTAAATTCCTGACAATTCGCACTTTAGAAAACACCTTATACAAAATGAATGATTTAATGATATTACGTAATATTTCAATTAGAAAATAACAAGTACGTAAATCTCTATAACTTTTTTTTGTCCTCTTACTCCACAGTCAAGGGATCGGAAGATGGTGGGCGACATGAATGGCGCCGTGTCTTATGGTGGCACAGCGCGTTCTCTCAACATCGCTGCGACCGTGCTCAGCATTCTACTGATCTTTATCGCAATCATTCTGGTTGTAACCGGGGTGATAAGGAGTAGCTATGGGGTACATTGAATGAGATCCCTGTGAATGAATGTGACCCTCTATGTGCAGCCTGTTACCCATAATATGATACTGTAAAGTCTCGATCGTATTATTTATATGTATTAAGATAACTATACAATTTGTTCAAATGGATATAGAAACACATACTTTGCTTCCAGTTATGTCAATATATTTCCTTATTATGTTCTTGCAATATTAAAGTATTAAAACATCTTACTTTGATTTATAATTACTTATAATTTGATATCACTGTATTTGTATTCACACGCACAGCCATTTTGCAGGAATTTGCCTAATTTTCCGTACAGGAGGGTGGTTTTCATGGAGCCTAGTAAGAATCACTCAGTAATAGAACAATGCTCTCACTTCGAGAATCTTTACAGCTTTGAACAAAAGCGATAGGATATCACAATATCTGTTGCTATCACTCCTGCTGAATTACGTAGAGTTACAGTACCCCAGACAGGCCCTTGCCTTAAGTAGGTGCCTTAATGTGCTTCACAACATTCTTACTCAGTTTGGCCAAAAAAGGTCCACATGGATTATCATCAATATAGATAAAACAATTTATCCAGTCTCATGAATAACAATTTTTCCATAATTTCTCTTCCATATATCCCACTATGTGTCTCCTGTTCTTTCTCCTCCTTCTCTTTCCGGCCCCTTTTGATTCATGATTTTATGATACATTTTCTGCGCCAACCATCGTATCCAATACATTTTATCCACTTAATAAAAATCTATGTTGCTGTAAAAGCCAAGCAGAACATCCACAGATCAAACACCGATCAACGAAGAAAGTCCGACATCAGGACACTTCACAGAAGATACAAGTTCCAGTTCGTAGGAACAAAAGGAATTAATTTTAATTAAAAACGCATGAAAAATGTGATAGCCCATAAATTGAAACATAACGTATTTTATAGCAACCAGTGGTTGTATTCAGTCAGAAAGGGAGTTATATATCTGCATGCTTATTGTCTCACAGCCAGACAGTATAATCAGAGCTGTATACATATAACATAAATAATAACATAATAATATACATATAACATAAATAATAACATAATATACATGTAATATAAATAATAACATAATAATATACATATAACATAAATAATAACATAATATACATGTAATATTAACATGTAGAGATGTCACCGAGTGCAGCAGTAAGAAGAATCTTAATGATTAAGCTCATTTGTAAATAATATGTGCTGTCTGTCTTGTAATCTTCAAAATCATATATATTGAATATATCTCATACAGAAGCATTAGATCGAACTGTTTCCCTGGCTCTGAGTTCCTGCATGCACTCTGAACTTGGTTGCAGAGGGATTGGTGAAGAACACGCAACATGGGGAGGCAATGCTGGGAGCACTCCCTGCGAGTGAGAATCCCTTTACATGTTCTGCCAGCTGAGTGCGCTGACGACAGATGTACATTTTGCACAGAATTCACTTTTGGCAGCCCTGAACAGAGTCATGTGTGTCTTCGATAAATATCTCTGTTTGTACAGGGTTTCAAGTAAAAACGCTGCACATACAGACTGCTACCACCATAACCACTTCTAAAAGTGGAAGGTGTCATGGTGGTTGGAGTAAGCCTTTAAGTTATGTCTGACTATGGTAGTTACAGAATGGTATAGAGGCGTACTACTGGACCTTAGATTTGCCAAGGTTCAAGGAAATCAGAATGGAGAATGGTCAAAGTACTAGCTGAGGTCAAAAAGCCAAAATATAAACCAGATTATAAAGCGCTCTTGGACCACCACAAGGCAAGCCTGACAGGGCACAGTACCTGTGTGAAATGAGTGTAAATAATCCTAGGCCATCGTCTCCAAAAGGTGCATGCGCAGTGTAGCACAGATAACGCAGGTACATTTGCATGAAAAATGATGCAGGAGGGATAAACGCAATTAAATAATGTGGGGGTGCAGCGGCCAGCATCTAAATTGATCCCAGAATGATGCGAGCCTGAAAAAAGCTGTGTAACAAATTACACATAGATGCAGGACGCACTTTAATTTGTCGCACTGGTGACAAGCTGGGTTTTGTCAAAGTGTTTTCCAGCGGTTTGACATGAACTGGGCTTTTCCGGCACCTGAAGTTCCAATAACATAATTCGGAAGATACATTTACACATTATCTGTACAAAATCTGTCCATGTTTGCATCCCGAGGATATCATTGTAGCATTCCATTACCATCTAAACGTCTTCTAAACACTGCGATGACTGTCCCAGAAGGCTCCATCAGGGTTATTCACTGAAGTGAGAATTGTCGGGAGTTCACAGTGCATTTGAATTAACATATAAGGCCAAAATAGCTGAACCAGAAGCGTTCTGCTGATGCCTTAGATTTGAAATGAATTTTGAATTCCAGACAATAAATAACCCTGTCCGTGTCATTACTATTAACATAAGGTGAAGGGTCCATGGTGGCAGGCGTTACTTTATGGCAGTTTCACATCCTATTTTATATCCTATACTTGTTTACACACAATAGATGTGTCTGTTATATGAGTTTTGACCAGGGCCAGTTCTTTGTTTGGTTAAGGCAAATGAATACCCCCAACATTTCAAAAGGACAAAGAGGGGTACTTTAACTGTAGGGGTGGGGGCAGGGCAGTTCAGAGAATATTTAGTGACTTACCAAGAACACGTTTTGCAACTAAACTGTGATTTAATTAACACAGACCGATTTCTAAATACATTTATTGCAGTTTAAAGACACATTACTGGGTGTATTATTGCTGTGGAGCTCTGTAATAGCACATTACTGGGAGTATTAATGCTGTGGAGCTCTGTAATAGCACATTACTGGGAGTATTAATGCTGTGGAGCTTTGTAATAGCACATTACTGGGAGTATTAATGCTGTGGAGCTTTGTAATAGCACATTAATGGGAGTATTAATGCTGTGGGGCTTTGTAATAGCACACTACTGGGAGTATTAATGCCATGGAGCTCTGTAATAGCACATTATTGGGAGTATTAATGCTGTGGAGCTTTGTAATAGCACATTACTGGGAGTATTAATGCTGTGGAGCTCTGTAATAGCACATTACTGGGAGTATTAATGCCGTGGAGCTCTGTAATAGCACATTACTGGGAGTATTAATGCCATGGAGCTCTGTAATAGCACATTATTGGGAGTATTAATGCTGTGGAGCTTTGTAATAGCACATTACTGGGAGTATTAATGCTGTGGAGCTCTGTAATAGCACATTACTGGGAGTATTAATGCCGTGGAGCTCTGTAATAGCACATTACTGGGAGTATTAATGCTGTGGAGCTCTGTACCATGACTTCTACAGGTCACTGTAGTGGTTATGGTGCTTGGGGTGTCCCTCTAAACTCCGCTCATCCTGTCAGTACAGCTCATTACTGACACACACAAACAAACACTAGTGATGTCGCCAACACGAAATTTTCGGTTCGCGAATGGCGAACGCGAACTTCCGCAAATGTTCGCGAACCGGCGAACCGCCATAGACTTCAATGGGCAGGCGAATTTTAAAACACACAGGGACTCTTTCTGGCCACAATAGGGATGGAAAAGTTGTTTCAAGGGGACTAACACCTGGACTGTGGCATGCCGGAGGGAGATCCATGGCAAAACTCCCATGGAAAATTACACAGTTGATACAGAGTCTGGTTTTAATCCATAAAAGGCAGAAATCACCTAACATTCCTAAATCACATTGAATATGGATTGACACCCGACATATGACATATTGACACCTTGACATATGGATTGACACCTGTCCTCAGAGCCCCTGATGCACACGGACACAGAGCAGAATAGGGACTGGTCCCCCTACATAGGGTCACTTTGCAGATATGGATTGACACCTATCCTAAGGATCCCTGATACACACTGACAAAGAGCAGAATAGAGACTGTTCCCCCTACATAGGGTCACTTGGCAGATATGGATAGACACCTATCCTCAGAGACCAAGGATACACAATTTATCAAAGAGTAGACTGTTCCCCTACATAGGTCACTTTAAGTGATATGGATTGACACCCGTCCTCAAAGCCCTGATACACACTGACACAGAGCAGAATAATAGAGACTGTTCCTCCTACATAGGGTCACTTGGCAAATATGGATTGACACCTGTCCTCAGAGACCATGATACACACTGACACAGAGCAGAATAGAGACTGTTCCTCCTACATAGGGTCACTTGGCAGATATGGATTGACCCTGTCCTCAGAGACCATGATACACACTGACACAGAGCAGAATGGAGACTGTTCCCCCTACATAGGGTCACTTGGCAGATATGGATTGACACCTGTCCTGAGAGACCATGATACACACTGACACAAAGCAGAATAGAGGCTGTTTCCCCTACATAGGGTCACTTGGCAGATATGGATTGACACCTGTCCTCAGAGACCATGATACACACTGACACAGAGCAGAATAGAGACTGTCTCCCCTACATAGGGTCACTTGGCAGATATGGATTGACACCTGTCCTCAGAGACCATGATACACACTGACACAGAGCAGAATAGAGACTGTTCCCCCACCTAGGGTCAC